TTCTTTTTATATCTGAATCCTCAGGAGACATTCAGGGCTCCTAAATTACTTAGACGCATTTTTGCACCATCTGGAGAGGAGTTAATTCTCAATGGGAACGTGCATCACCTTCATATACGTACGTGCAATCAGCCCTTCCTGACTCAGAAAGCAGTAACATGTCAGTGCTGCTGCCTCCAGCCCAGTACTCTTCTGTCAATGTATCCATGTGTTACCTACTCATCAGAGGCTGCAGAGAGGGACAGAGGATTTAGGACTTGGCTATTTCAGGCCATGAAGTGGGTACAGACCCATTTCCTACTTTATGGTTTCCCAGGACACAGTTCTGCAGAAGACAAGGAGCAGACCAGTAAACAAATCCATGCTTGTAATCTCAGAAGGCACGTACCAAGTTCACATGCTGGGGCAAGTCACCTTCCTTCTCCAAACCCCCTGCTCTTCAGTCATAACTGAAAATGGTGAATATCTCTGGATGAAGCAGCACTATAGAAAAATGTTAAAATGCCATACATAACAGATTATTTTTTTTTTCCTCTAGAACACCTGAATTTCAGTGTATCCACATTTTACGCAGGGATACTGACAGAACCACTACAAAACTGGAGCAGTTTTGGTTCAGCTTCCCCAGTTTATCCTCTCTTGTATTTGAACAAATTAAAATCCTTGAAAATTAAGTAATTTGGGATATGGATTTTAGAAATCAGGCTATCACTGCTGAAAGGACAATAGAGGCAAGGAAGCTCTGCATGCCATGCTCTCACAGAGCAGCATGTGATTCCTGCCCTGTATGCTAGTGGAGCCATAGGGGAGGAAGAAAAACATTCTGGCAGGAAGAAAAATATTCTGGCACAAAGACAGACAGGATTTCATCTTCTGAAGTTCATTAATATATAATTGTCCTTTCCAACTCCTTCTTGATCTTTCCCTTTAATCCTGTTCTCCCCATCATGTGCAACTGTTCCACCTTTTTCTGGAAACAGGGGTGCTGCAGGGGATTCATGCAGAAAGGAACTTTAGAGAAAGCCTGCAGCACATCGCTGGGGAGGAAGCTTTGTGTTCCTGGGTGGCTAACTAACTTCTACTTAAGAACTAACCTAAATAAAAAGACAGACCAGATGAAAAATGGTATGGCACAGAACCAAGTATTCTTTTAAGGCTTTATGGAGCTCTAGAAACACAGAAAAGTAAAAGCACATGAATCTCAAGCATGTTATTCCCAGCCTTTCCTTTATTTATGTTGACCCGAGCTAAGGTTTCTACAGCAGTAGACCTATCCCCCACAGGTTAAAATATGACTCAACTGTGGCATTATGCTACATAACAGTAATTTATAATCTATCTGAAGTCATTTCATCAACCCCTGGGACAATGGCTAACAAGACTGAGAAGATGGTTTATCGGACCCTCTTTCCACTAGGTCAAAGTCTGAGAAACTGCCTATTTCCCACAGTGTGATGATATTTCACAGCCTTATTTGCAAATACTGCATGAGATGTAAATTGCCTGAATTTGTCCCTTATATGCAACAGGCAGTTTATTCCCTTACCACTAGTAAGGCAGCTGATTCATGGAGCAGGCTTGTTTTTTGCTTAATGGGACACTAAAAACATGCATCATCTTTATACTTGTGCTAAGTCAGTGATAAGGCACTGTTTCCCACACAAATCAAACCACTGCCTACAAGAACTTTCCATTCTGCCCTAGTAGAGGAGGAAGAGAGAAGAGTCTATTAAAACTGCCTTTATTAAAATTGCTGGGCTATTCAGCATTTCCCAATTAAACTGGGCACTGATCTAACATAAACCAAAAAGCAGATGCTGGGATCTCCCACCACAATGAACACCTAAACCCACTGCCAGAGCAGCAGAGCTGCCCAGTACTGTCTAGCCTAGGACAAGACATCTGAAAGCTGAAATGTGCCAAATATAGAAGGAGACAGATCCCAAACTCTTCTCCTGTTGCTAAGCTCTCCTCACTTTCAAGCTCATGGAGCAGTGTGCCAGATCCTGTGTTTTAACAAGGTTCTCACTGCTGTCCTTGCTCCCTGACAATGTGACACATCTATCACCCAGCATGTTCATCTTGATCCGCTATTGACAGACCCCTCTGATTAATAACTAGATTCTCTTCCTTGTTTTCATGAGAAAGTGATACAGTGGTGCCATAGGGTTTTGATTCTTCAAGGCACTCTGTCCTTGGCAGCCTGATGAGAAGTCAGCAGAAGACAGGCAGGGTTATTTCTGTTTGAGTTTGTTCTGGTTTTAAGAACTATTTGGGTCTTCATGTGCAGAGGTTGCGAACTCCAGTGTGTGAACTTCTCTCTCAAGACAGTACAAGCACAGATTCTGGGACAGATGGCCCAAGCATAGGTTTCCTTCCAAGGGAATAGACAAACTCAGTCAGCAACCCACTGTGCCTGCAGATCATTGAGAGCTGGATGTTGAAACAAGCTGACCTCACAGGAATGCTGAACTATGTCCTTCAAGTATTTCTTATTCAGACAAACCCATGTGGCCACTGAAACATCTGGGTTAAAACAAGGGCTTTCCTATAATCTAGCTATATAGAAAGGCAACTATACAGAACGAATAAGCACTAAGGATTAACATCAGAAGGTATAAAAGAAAACCTTACAAACACATTCATTTTGGATCTTTGAGTTACACAGAAGAGAAAAAAACCTTACTTTAGGCAGTAAAGCATAGGCATTACTCTGCCCGGTGCTGGGCCCGTTTCCTTTAGATATACGGCTGCAATAAGCTGCTGTGCTGGGTTTTATTGAAGCTTAAGAATTTTTTAGCAGCTCTGGGAGCTGTAGATTTTAGATCTTGGTTAGATATTTAGCTCCACCTTCAACTGAAAAATTGCTTTAAAAAGCCAGAGCAGCATTTCTTAAATAGGTAATTGAGCAGGAAAAAAACTCCAGTATAAAGGTCTAAAGCAATCAAAGGTGATTTAAATAATATCTACCATTAACCTAAAAGACAAACAGGTATGTGAAGGGAAAAGCCTAGTTATTAAGGTACCAGACTGGAAAGGAGAACTCTTATGTACTCTTACTTGATTAAGCACCAGTGACTCAGTCTACTCACCCAAGAAATGGGAAGGATGTAGTCCAAGCTCCTAAAACCACTATAAAAGTATTAAGATTTTCCACCAGTGATTCAAGATGTGTTAAAAGCAATTGACTGAACAGAAGTACATGTCATAGAATGTGCAGACACTGCATTTTTTCCCCCACATGAGTGTATTACCCATTATGCACACCTTACCCACACTCTTTTGAAAGCTCAGCCCTCAGCATCTGACCAGAATAAGCCTACTAAGCCATCAGCAAAGGCTTTAAAAATGTAAGATACAGCCAGCTGGCTTTCTTCAAATGCCTACTCCTTCCATTACCTGTCTGGGCCAGAAGCATCTGTCCAGAAATAATCTACACATTAGAAATTCATCTGCAGCCATTTACCTTCCAAGTTTCCTTATACCAGATACCAAATAAGGTACAACCAGACAGGTACTAAAAAAAATCTTGCAAATGCAACTAACATGAATTCCTGTAAAGACAAAAAATGAGGCAGTTTTAAGTACATATTTGGAAAGTCTCCTTCTCCATTACTCTGAAAATTTTTGACCCAATGGCTGTAGAGGGAAAAATACCCCCAAAAATTCATAGCCATCGTGGCTGTAAAAAAACAACCTCCCATATAAGATAGATGGGCTGAACAATGCAGTGACCTGAGCCTGGGCACCCCCTAAAACCATAGGGCAAGCAGAGACACCCTTCCTTCCTCCTCCAATAAAAATAGTCTGCTACATAAACATGTTCTGCCACTCAAAAAGCAAAAGGATTGTGGATCATCCTCATAGAGCAGCAGAGGAGCAGCAAGACCAGAATCTGGTCCACCTCTCATGGTGAATCAGGTTTAGCCTGTGGGCAGCTCTGGGGCTCTGCAGTGGCCCTGGTCTGCCTGGCAGAGGATGTCCCAGCCTAGGGCACAGGTAGGTACCAGCGGGTGCTGCAGCAGCGGTGAAGAGCTATGCTGCCACCTGCAGACAACCAGAATTACAGCCTCCACCTACACAGGCACTGCACATAAAGGTGGTCAATGGTGCATGAATTGCAAATCTCTACACATTTTCTATTAGAGGTCCAGGTTCCTTAAAATGAGTTTAAGCTGACTACTAACAGACTCTGCCTGTAACAGGACAAAGCATTAGAATGCATTTTAAGAGCAAGTGCAGAACAATTACAGTCATAACAAAACAGCCAACACACTGTCTTGCTAAAAAGGTTACTCTGCAGGCTGGTTTCTGCAGATGCTTTGGGAGGATCCTCAAGCACAACCCATGTGTATCTAGATGCCACAGTATTATGTATTTTACCCTCTAAAATTATCTCCAAATGCTATGACTTCAGGACCTGTTCTGCATCTCAGAAAGGCAGACAAATGTTTCCCAGGCCTAGCTGTCTCATAACCACAGGAAGTCCTGCAAACCCAAATAGGAAATCACTTCAAAGCAGTAAATGACAGCAAGATAGCATTGCAAGTGAAAGCATTAGCTCCACAATGGTATAGAGTCACTAAACTTTACTGCAGGAACTTCTTTCATTGCCTCCTACTCAGATGGATTTTAAACTAGAAGCAAAACCTGAAATGACACTCATCAAATTACCTTCGTATCTGTTTTCAGCTGTGTGCAATACAATAGAGGTGGCACAGCCAAGACCTCTCTAGACTGTTCAAAACCACTTTAACCACATATGAAAACCAACATGAGACAAAGCATGTAAGTCTCCTTTAGCCTCCTGATGCTAACTGTACATGCATTTGCATAGTAAACACCACCAGTAACCAACAGAGGAAAATTTCAAAACATGCTTTAGGCTAATTTATGACACACATGGGAAGGCATTATACTGTCACAGTCCTGTGCAATAAGATCATTGCAAATCAGGAGCAGAGGTCATGGCCCTGGAAGAACAGCAGAGCACATAGGTGAGGATGAAAGTCCATCTTTATTAAAAAAGATTTAAAGTTTAGCTGAAACCTCCTCACAAATGCTGAACACCATTTCTGTTCTCAAAATTCTCCTCATTGATGAAAACATTGAAACCACTCTGAATTCTGCCATTAGTATGAGATGATCACTGCTACTGAACATTTTACCCAATGATATGGAAGGACAGGACTGTGCAATTCAAAACAGGACAACACAAAAAGAGTATGATCTTCCACGCACTTAAACACAGCACACAAAGACCGTCCTCCTTCTGGGAAGATGCTTTAATATATGTGCAAAAATACAGCTGGAGTGATATAAAATAATTAACACAGCATAATTAACAGAATAACATTCAGAGACTTTATTGAAGAAGAAAGGCCAGGAGGTGCTTTAGGATGCATTAACAGAAAGGCTACAGATCTGTTCATCTACCAGTGTAGACTCATCACAATGCAATACAGCTCATCAAGAGAGACCTGAAAGAAGTTTAAGAAGTTTATAGTGAGGGAAACCAGCATGGGACAGGTAGAAGAGGGGCAGAGAAAGAGACCCAGCCTCCTCATCACAAAACAAACCTATAAAAGAACATCTCTTGCCACTCAATGCCTATGAGGAGATTATTTTGGTGTACTTACACTGGTTAAGTCATCTGTTAGGTTAGTTCACACCTAACAGGTTTTCTAGTACTGAACATGCTTTTTGAAAAGCACACACAGAGATAAAGCACTTCGTACTTTCAAAGCTCTCTATGATGTCAGCTCAGCATCCCTGTGAGGTAAGCAAAAATTAGCTGTTTTCCGAGACAGAAGTTAAATGACTTCTTCAAAGCCATGGTGAAGAATGTGCTGTTAATATCCTTAAGAACCTGGAATGATACTGTTTTTCACAGACAGGGAATTGGAGACAACCAGCATCTGAAAGTAAGGAGTTGCTGAATTTTCACCTTGTTCTTACTATTACAATTCTTTGAATCCCCACCTTGACAAGTGTTCCACAAACACATACAGGTATTAGTGAGCTCTTCCTTTATCTCTAACAAAAAGCACTGGTCCTCTCCAGCAGTAAGCAGACATCCTAGGCAGTGGGCTACTCCCTGCTGGTAAAGGGTAGCCTGGATACAACTGAAGTTAATACATTACTCCACCAAAGATTGTATCCTAGATCTTTCCACTGTTACAATTACTGTTATCAAAGATATGAGCCAAATATTAGCTCCTTTAAAGGATTTAGCTTGAGTACTCTAGTTTATGTAAAAGGAGTAGAAAAAAAAACCAAAACTATTCAGTCTTTCAGCTACACAAACCCAAGCTATCATGAAATAAAGCACAGAGCTGCTACAAAGGGTAGCAACAAAGCCATGCTGGGATTAACCTAATACATCCACATATCTGCAATTGCAAGGTTAACAGAACCACTAGCCCAGTCCATACCCAGAGAAAAGCTTTTGCTTTACAGTAAAATGAAGTGTGTCTCAGAGCCAGGCTCTTCTTTACTCCATAGGCTCACAAAGAAGTAACAGCAGATACTGTGTTGGGTATATCTGATTTGACAAGTTTCCAAAAGCACTTGGATAGATCTTCTCCATCCAGCTGTGCTGAACTTCTCTAAACAAATATTTTGCTGTAGAAAGCAGCACACAGTTGCTGAAGTCAGATTCTCCAGTTAGACCAGAGAGATCATTTGCCCAATTTTAATAAAAGATGAAATTGTGGTTCAAAATACACCTGGAAAGAATCTTTCCCCTTGATCACAGCACAGCTGTAAAGTAATAAACAGCTGGGTGACACTGGATAACATAAAGCCATGAAAACAGTCACTTCAATAGCTGTACCATGTAACCTTGTACCATCAACTCAGCTCTACTACTGTCAGAACAACCCACTAATGCAAAACTCAGATGAACACACAAGGGCACAACTTAACGTCAAACGCAGGATAACCCTATGCTAGCTTATTGCTCATGTTTAAATGCCCTTCATATACTGGTTAGTACACTCCCACTTGGTTCAAAAGCGGGTTTGCAATCCAGGCACCAGCAGCTTTAGTTCAACACCCAATTCCTCTACAGCTTTCCACAACTCCTGCAAACAAACTTTTCACCAAAACCCTGCATACAGGAAACAAATACTTTTTCTTCAACACAGCAGGGAATTCAGTTGACACTGAGCAATGTGGCATGGATTTAATTCATCTTTGCACTGCAAGTCACACTTCTTTCCCAGTGTGTTTGGCATGATTTTCACACTGCTACATAACTGCTGAAACAATCAGCTCTCCAAATAGCCACATGAACATCAAGTGGCAAGATCTGCAGGAGAAAACAAAACACTACCATAAGGTGTACAGGGAAAAAAAAAAAAAAAGGTGGGGAACTTCACTTCAGAGCTAGCTTAACATTGAAATGTGTTTCAGTCACACAAACTCTGGACTCTATCAGGAAAAATCTTGTTAACAAAAATCATTTCTTCCCGTTTCCAGTCCCAGTTTTTAGGCAGAACCAACACAACAATCCCGATTTCTTTTTTCTAACCCTGCATCTTTCTTGCTCAAGGGGGCTTCTTATAGCAAGATTGTTTCACCAGGCCTCTAAACAAACAGGGAATGACAACTGAAAAATATCATTATTTTGTTGAAACTAAGAATTTGCTCTTCCTGTACCCATTCACCCACATCCAGAGAAATCTACTGCTCTGTCCACTCTCCCTTGACTCCAAGACTGTCATTTCAGAGAGTAAATTCTAAGCAAATGCAAAAATGGAAACCACTTGTTTTTCTATGCATTGGGGGCTTTTCAGGTGCCTGATTTACAGTTACAGCTTCAGCTTTTGTAGCAGAATATAAATTCACTGGGTTTGGCTTGAAGTATGTGCAGTAGGCTATTTGTGCTCCGTTTTAGCACCAACATCCCACAGAGATACGCAACTTTGAAATGTCTAGACTATAAGGACCAAGCAGAAGCAAGAGTTAATGAATCAGTGTCTACTACATTTCAGGGGCTTAGAAGCAAAAGCTCCAAATTTGGCTAGGAGAAAAAAAAATAAGAGAACAACAAAAATTAAACTATACAACAGATGAAGATAAACTATGCTTAGAAGGGAGTGAAGTAATAGCACCTACATTGTTGTGACGCTAAGCATTTGGCAGTGTTTTCTGTTTACCACACAGGAGCCACTGGACTCCTTGACCTTGGTAAGGAAAGGGAGTCATATAAGCAATCACTGTGCTTGTGAAGGGAACAAAGTTTACACTGGAGGCTCAATCTTACTTTCTTTGAGTCAACAGTAAAATAACTCAGTGGCAGAAGGATGAAGTTCTTTAAAAGTTTCCTTGTCTTCACATCACTTTGCTCCCCTGAAAGCTGCACAGTTCACTCCTGAAGAGCTGATAAGCCCCCCTTTTAAAGTCTGTTGTACAAGCTATCCAAGACTAGCAATTATAGAATTCACAGACAATCAACAGCTCAAGAAAGTCTCTCCATTCTTCCCACTGTCCATAACAGGTCATCTACCCACATCAACCACCACTAATGAGCATTAATACTGAATTGTGAGGCCTGACTCTGCAGCTCCTACTACAGTTTGGGCAGAGCACCAGCTGGTGCTAGCGTAATACCAAAAACATAGAAAAGCCCCAGGAGGAGATTGAGTTTGGCTGTCCGCTGAGGGATTTTGTTGAAGTTCTGACTCCGAAACTGCCTTTCCAGTGAAAACGCCATCGGGATGGTAAGGAGTGGCAATGCCATGCTGATGGTATAGCGTGTGGCCAGCACACAGAAAATCAGGTAGGGCAAGAAGAGCAGCACGGTGTAGAGAACATAGGAGAAGGCAGGACCGATGAGGATAGCCAGGGTGACAATACCCGCCTGCTGGTCAGACTCCATGTCCCGTGTGTTGTTGCTGTGCAGGATGGCCTCAGTACTGAGCGCCAGTGGGATAGCGTAGAGCAGTGGTGAGACAGACAGATAACCAACTTGCACAGCATGGGCAAACATGACAGCCAAGGGCCCAAAGGTGATCAGGATCACCACGTCTCCAAGTGCAACATATTTAAATCCAATTCCTGTGGCAAGACACAAGAATAAAATGAAGCATCATCAAACAACCGAAATGACAGAAGAGAATGGACAATACAACAGATCAGCCCTTTCCACAGAAGTATTGTAAAACAACCAACACACATGTAGCTACATCCAAGAAGTATGTTATCTCTTTTTTCCAAAGATAATCAAGGAAACACAGCTTCTCAATTTCTCCATTCAAACAATGTAACATAAAATAAGAGCCAGGCTCTAATACCTGTCTTTGCATCTATAAGTACCTCTTTCTGCAGAAAACTGTAGAAATAAGGTACTCTTTAATGTGCCCATACTAAAACCTGAACCTGAATAAACACATAAAATGCTCAGAACAAAATGCAAGTGGATTCTTTCAACAAAACTAACATAACTGTTTGAAAGTTTGACTCAGTTTGAAACAGAGATTTCCTTTTCCTACCCAGCACAGTAACTCACTAAAAACATCCTTCTCTTACTGAGAACAAATTGCTTGACATTCACAATGAGGCTCCACCTAGAGAACAACAAAACAGTCCAAAACAAAGTAACAGATTCCACCAATGGAAAAGAAAACATGCAGTGCAGTGTGCTGCTGAGGGAGACAAGATACACATCATGAAAAGCTGCAGCAGTGGTTCTGATGAGCATCTAGAGTACGTAAATAACAACGTCCCAACATCACTTTCCAATTGAAGAACTTTGTGTGCATCTTTCCACAGCAATCAATGGCAAAGAAGTTCATGTACGAGGCCTCCAGGAAACACCATCAAATATTTCCAGGGCAGCTAACTAAATATACCACTTGTGTCTTCTAGAAATCCCTTGAGAAACCAACTGATTCTGTCACATTTAAGCTCAGATTTACAGCAAACGGGATATAGTGCTTACCTCCAGTGTAAAGGAAGGAGCTGGAAAGTCCCCCGAAGTAAACCAGGGCCAGGTGCTCCAGTTTGAGCGTTGAGACAGCGTAGAGCCCAGCAGCACAGATACAGCCCACAGTATAAAGGAACACTCCAAACCGGACTACGTCCTGAGGCTCCAAAATCTGGTCCACCAAAGTCCTGTCATCACTCTTCTTGTGATCGATACCTTTGGAGAAGTCGTAGTAGGTATTCACCAGGTTGCCGGCTCCATGCACAGCCAAGACGGTCACGGCGCTGCCCACCAACAGCCCAGGGTCTAGCGCTCCCTCAGCCCGGTACGCCAGAGCGCTGCCGAGAGCCACAGGGGTGAGCGAGGCACTAAAGCTCCACGGTCGGAGAGCTAGCACGTAGGCCGCACACTTCTGTCTCCAGCTGCCGGGGGGTGCCCTCTCAGCGCCCGCCAGCGCGGAGCCGGAGTCGTTCCTCTCGCTGCCGCGGGGGCTCTCAGCGCTAACACTGATCTTCTGCGCTAGGTCTGCCGGCCCCATGCTCTCCCGTCTCTCAGCAGCAGCACCTGAAAGAAGAAGGGCCGCGCGTTAGCCCGGCGGCCGTGGGGCCCGGCGGGGAGCACACGGCGGTACTGCCGCCGCCATGACCGCACCTGAGGTAACGACACGCACCGCCCTTTCCCGCCTGCGTCTAAAGACCCTTCCCACCCCCCCTCACCTCAGCGCCCCCACGCCCCCACGGGCACGCACAGGAGGTTCCGCGGAGGATCGCGTACCAGAGCAGCGCCCAGAAGGAGCATTAAACGTTCCCCACCACAGCTGCGAGGGGCGAGTGTCACTCTGAAGCACACATCAGCGCTGCTAAACGCGCCTTCACGGTACCGGAGGGCCTACCGCCGAGCAGCGGCACCGCCGAGCCCGCCCCGGATCCTGATGTGGGCAGCCGGACACATTTCAGCGGCACACGCGGAGCGCGGCACCAAGCTGCCTCTACGCATGCGCACACGGTGCGCAGTAATTAAGAAAGGGCGGAAGCCAGCCGGCGTCTGCGAGGCGGATCTATAGCGGAGTTCGCACCAATCAAGCGCGTCCGGACTTCTTATTGGTCAGTTGTACTGTCACTCGCTCCCGGCTGGCTTGATGATTGGATGGTCTCACCTTGCGGTTCCATGGGAGAGGGGCGGAGCTGCGAGCGCTCCTTCCCTGTAGCTGTTTTTCTACTGGTCAGAGGCGGTGTCTATCAAAGCCGTTCTGGGACGCTATTGGCCAGCAGCTGCTCGCCGGCCCGGCAGGCGCGGGTGGAGGGCAGGGCGCGGGGCCCAGAGCGGGGCAGCCGGCGGCGGCGGTCGGGGCTGAGGCGGTGAGTGCGGCTCCGGAGCCTCCCCGCGGCAGCGCCGTTCCCTCCCTCCGGTCACGGCCTCCCCCCCGCGCCTTCCCGCCTCAGTGCCAGCCGCGCTGCCGCCTTGCGCGCTGTCAGCGGCACCGGCGCTCCCGCAGGCGCTCGGCCCTGTGTCGCGATCCCCGCCCGGAGCCGCCTGCCTGAGGCCCCGCGCCCGCCCGCCCTCACCTCACTCTTCCCTCAGCCCCGGCCCGTGGAGCGGCGATGGCGGGATCCCCCGCGGGCTCAGGCCTGCCGGCCCCCGCCCGCCGGCTGTCGCGTCCTTCCGCCAGTGCGGCTGTGACGGAGCCCCGCGCAGGGACACCCCGGCCGGCGGCGGTAGGGCCGCAGCCACGGGTCGCTGTTAGCCTGGGAGAGCTCCTCCTGGTTCCCAGCCGCGGGGCAGCCCTGGAGCCACCTCACGCTTTCATGCTGGGGGATCCGTGTCACCGCGTGGGGATATTGAGGGAAGGAGCTGAAGTTTCGGTGCCGTGTGTCGCTGTGGGCCCTTTCTGTCAAGTGCTGGGTTTGGGTTTATGTAATCTGGAAATCGGGGGGGGGGAGTCTGGCCTCCAGCATATTTTCCGCATAAAGGCTCACGATAAAGTTGGGTTGCGTGGTGCTATAGTAAACATCCTGCTGCAATGATCAGTGTTGCTATAAGTAGACTTCCCCTCTCTAAATATCTACTGAGAATGTAACACTTGCCAGGCCCCAAGTGCTGAGTCTTCCCTGTGCTGGCATAACACTGGAATTTCTGTGGAGAAACTTGGGTGAAAGTTTTCAAGGAGGAAGCAGATACAATAACTATAATCATGGGAACGATTGTGTTATTTATGAGAGTGCAGGTGTAAACCCTATTCTCGTTCTGCTGTTATTTAGCTTGTTTCTAATTGGATCACCATGAGTTTGGGCACCTGGAGCATATTTTGGTATATGAGGAGCTAGGGAGCAAGTAGGCTTGAGGTCAAGGTATTCTGTTTTACCACAGCGTTGTAAGGCCTGAGGAATATAGTTGTTACTTGTAATTTTATGCTTTAGTGGCATAGCATCCTTGCACGCAATAGGACCCGTGTTTTGGAAACAGGCAGCATTAAGAAAGAAGCTGAGATGCTTCAATAGCTGAAAGGAGTGTTTTTCTGAAGCACTTACAGGATTTGATGCCCCCGAGCCCCAAGCCAGCACCATCATGTCGGGCACTGTGTCCATCCTCCAACAATTTGCCAATGGCTTGAAGAGTCGCAGTGAAGAGACGAGGGCGAAAGCTGCCAAGGACTTGCAGCATTATGTCACCATGGAGCTCCGCGAAGTGAGTGCTGCAAATGAGAGAATTTATCCTTGTTTTATCATGGGAGTGTGGGATGTGGGCTGGGTACTTTCGGGATGGAGATTTTTGGAATATGGAAGCTGGAATATGGAAGAGGAGGTGGGGCATAGCACGGAGCTTGCCTTTGCCTCAGCATGTAGCAGAGGTGAGTGAGCTGGTGACATAGATGGGTGGTTGAGCACCAGAACAAATAATTTGACACGTCTAGGGCACAAAAAAGAGATGATGTTTTGTGTTTGCAGTGTATGGTTGCTTTCATTGCTTTTGAAGTGACTTAAGAAGCATTGTCTTTATGGAGGTTTTGGGATAAGAAGGAGGGAAAGAATGCCAAAAGCCAATTTGAACGTTTTGCTTTTACAGATGAGTCAGGAAGAATCTACCAGGTTTTATGATCAGCTGAACCATCATATATTTGAACTGGTCTCTAGCTCTGATGCAAATGAAAGGAAGGGTGGCATTCTGGCTATAGGTGAGTGAAAGCGCTTAATGACTCTGGTGAGTTTTCTCTTCATGCGTCTGTTTTAGGAACAGAGTTTCAAAAGGAATGAGCTTTTATGATTGGGATGTTACATCTGACTGCTCAATATGCTGGGTGTGTACTAGTTGCTGGGCTCTGAAAAGCTATCTGTGAGCACCAGCATGGGAGCTGCTGAGCGCTGAGAGTGGCTGAAAACCTGGTGTTTAATGGGCCCTGAGCTCTTCTGGGTGTCGAGCATCAAATGTGAGTGCTGAGCACGTGAAATTTCTGTTCTCGAGCTTAGCTGAGAACAGTTTGTGCTGTCCATCTACATGTATCAGGGTGAGCTGACTTTCTCAACTCTCCTCCATCTGAGGAGATTGATTCCTGGTATTTAAATTTACCTGACTCAGTAACAGCAGCTTCTATCCTGGGAGGGGCTCACATAGCTTCTGCTTTGATTCTCATCAGCTGCTCTGGTTGTGCTTTTACTGTGACATGGTTTAGCTGCCTGTATCTTGACTCTTGGGGAAATCAGCCTGCAGAAATACTTTGCCTTCCAAGTGAGTAGCCTCTTTTGTAGCAATTACTTTAATAACTAAATAGGAGGTGCTTACGGTTTAGGCTCACAGACATAATGATCCAGTCCCAACATGTCTGAAGACAATGAAAGTCCCATAGCTAGAGAAGTCTTTGTTGGCAACATCTGATTTTAAGCTGACAGTATCACTTTAAAATTGTTTCTGTGAATTTAGTGCTGTTGAAAGGTGCCATCCCTGGAAACTGATGGCCTGTTTATCTACAGAGTAAGTACGAGTCAGGTACCAGCAGTGAAAGCTGCAGCCTGCACTGGCACCTGCCAGTGTGCCTTCCTCTGGCCAGGAGAGACCAGCTTTAGGGCTGAGGGGAGAAAAGTTTCCTTGGTCCATTCAGCCTTTGACTTCCCTCCTGCAGTGGATCAGCTGTAATCGTTGTGTGTGAATGGATGCCTTTCTGTTGGGAATGGGTCTGTGATGCCATGAATCTTAATTTTTTTTTTTCTCATTTAAACTAAAAAGCTACTGGATGCATATTCCTGCCCACTTAACAAGTTTAGGCTCAAGAACGGTGGCCCTTTCCTTGATTATTTGATTTTATTTATTTTTTTTTCCTGTGGATTTGCAGTTTAGGAGGAGTTAATGGGAATCTTTAAGGAATGAATAGGGAATACTAACTGTCCTCCAGAGATTACTTACTGTCTGCCTCACTGACTCTTAGGAAGAACCTACAGCATTGCTCCCTTTCCCTACAGCAAGCCTTATTGGTGTTGAAGGAGGTAATGCCACCCGTATCGGCAGGTTTGCCAACTACCTGAGGAACCTTTTGCCATCCAATGACCCTGTTGTAATGGAGATGGCCTCCAAGGCCATTGGGCGGCTTGCAATGGCTGGCGACACCTTCACAGCTGAGTATGTGGAGTTTGAGGTGAAACGAGCTCTGGAATGGCTGGGAGCTGACAGGAATGAAGGTCGAAGACATGCAGCTGTGAGTAATCTCTTTTTGTCTTCACCTGTCTTGGAATGGGGAGGATTAGTTAATAGTAGTAGGAGATGTGCACAGAAAGCTGAAGAAAAGCTCTCGTCAGGATCTAAATGGCTGCCAGTCTGTGTCTGAGAACCTCTGATGCTCTCATGGCAGATACAGCATTTGCTTCATTGCTTCTATGTTAGCTCAGTGATTAAAGAAGATTGAGACACTACTGTGCTAGGAACTGTTGAAGTACAGAGCTGGAAGCACCTCAGTCTCACAGACACTGATAGTTTAAATAAATGATTTTACGTTCTAGAAGTTACCAGGTTTGTTTACAGGGGCTCATCCTCACAGATTGTTCCTGTTTCTCTCCCCACCTCCAGGTTCTTGTCCTGCGTGAGCTGGCAATCAGTGTGCCTACCTTCTTCTTCCAGCAAGTGCAGCCATTCTTTGACAATATATTTGTGGCTGTGTGGGATCCCAAACAGGCCATCCGAGAGGGAGCTGTTTCTGCCTTAAGAGCCTGCCTTATCCTCACCACTCAACGGGAGCCAAAAGAGATGCAGAAGCCCCAGTGGTACAGAGTAAGAAAATAACTTTGTTTTGAAGCAGCTCCTCATAATGCAGTGCATTCACTAAGTGAGTTCTTAGAAAAACTGTTTAAGCTAAGAACCTGTGTCACTTTTGTCTGTAGGTCTGACTGTCAGTAGAAAACTGTCTCCCCTTGAAAAGATTGAAACTATAATGGCTTACAAAATGAGTAGTTCCTTTAGCCCACTGTAAAAATAATCGAGAGACTTGACTCCATCAAGAATCCATTGCTCTATCTGCAACTCATTTTCAGCTGTTGGGCCTGACCTAGTTTTACAGCCATGCAATCATCTATCTATTGTTGTCTCTTACTAGCATATGGTTTTATTAGTGTAGCTGAAACATGAATGGGAAAAGTAAGGATTCT